CCCATAGGTTCAGAACCCGAAGATGCCCAGGGGCGCGTGCGGTCCCCGGGGAAGGTCCTGCCGCTTGGCCTCAGGAACACGGACACGAAGATCATGGCATCCGCCACCAATTTCCAGATTCGTCAGATTGCCCAAGAGCGAACCCATGAGGTTCAACTAGGATTCATCCCAGGACGTAATTTCTTGTCCAACAGCATCACGTTGGACGCCGAGGCACGCAAGGCCAACATCTCCCCCGAAGCTGGGGAGGACCTCCCGATCTTCGCTACCTACGATGTGGAGGCGGCGTTCCCATCTCTGGGCCACCAGCGGTTGTTCGAGATTCTGAGTAGGATTGGGCCCCCGCCAGGTTTCATGAACTTTTTCCACGCGTTATACGTTTTAGCCCGAGGCTTTCCTAATATTCAAAATCGAATCGTTTGCCTGTTTCATCTCTGCTCGTGGGTCCTTCAAGGGTGCCCCTTTTATGGTTTTATCTGGGCTTTTGCAATGGGCCCCATTTTGAGATGCCTGCACGCGGCCACACAGCTCCCGCAGGCGAGGCACCACAAGGGCTCTCTTGGGGGTTGTGCTGACGATGTCGGAATGGTGATGCCTCGCCTTCGAGACCTGGTTGGTGTTTCCCGTGTTTTTCTGGAAGTTGAGCGTTTGCCCTGTCTCAGGCTCCAAGGGGCCAAATGTGTCTCGGCCCAAGTGTGGACTGAGTGCACGTAGGCTGTCCAGGACAGGGTCCGAAAAGTGCTTTGTAGGTGGATCCCGCAGTGGGCCAACTTTAGGATAGTTGGCCATACAGTCTACTTAGGGGTCGAAATGGGCCCCGCTGCCACACTTAGCACGATCTGGGCTAACGCAGCGGAGAAGTGGTGGTCGAGGACGATAGCTCTGCCATACTCTAAAGCCGGTCCGTCTGTTCTTTCAATTCTGTACAACACCACCGCTCGATCGACACTCTTGTACCTCGCCCAACTGCCCCCCATCCCTGCTATGATTCGTAAACTCGAGCGCCAGGCTCTGCACGAGCTGTTCAGGCTGCCGCCGAACAGCCTCAGTCTTGCTAATCTGAATGCTCTGCCATCTGTGCTCGCCATGGCCCCGTTCTCTGTCTCTTTGCTTGGATGGGCTAGCAGCTGGCGCGCCTCATTTCGCATTATGAACCATACATGGCAGCGCGCACTGCACAATATGGAAGAATATGCCCAAGACCATGCCACGAGAGTTTGCCTCGCTGCAGGGAAATATTCAGCGCCATGCTGGAAGCGCCCTCTCTCGATCGCGCAATTCATTGAGCGGGCGAGGCTTCCGAATCTTGTTCCCTGACATGCCTGGATGGCACGCAGCGTTTCGCGCTGCGCGCGATCACACGAAACTAGCCATCCAGGAAGCCCGTCGCCCGCATCCACGGCGCATTTTTGCACGCACGCTTCGAGCTGCCGCTTTCCCGGACTCTTTTCCTGAGTCGCCGGGCAAAAGGGTTCTCGCGCGGCAGGCCCCGATTCCTGCAGGGCGGAGGTCGGCGGTCGGACGGTGGAATCTTTGTCGGACCTGCATCGCGAGTTCCAAGCCTGCCTGGCAATGGAGTATCATCAAGACCCTCTGCGGAGTGTGGACAACCACGCACAGACTGCACATAGTCAACGCCTCCACGACCTGCATTTGGAGTTGCGCAGAGCCTGATGAGATTGCTCACTCTCTGCGTTGCTCGAGAATGTATCACCATTTTGCAATGCACCCCGAGTGGAGAAGGCGCCATTTTCCAGGCTCGCCGATTGTACTGTTGGGGCTGGGGGCGGCGTCTGACTACGGGCGGGCGGGATCGGAACTTACACGTGAGGAATGCCTCAAAGCAGTCCCATTGACTTTTCATACGTAGAATAAAGCGAAATGTTTCGCTCAGAAGACTCCTATGTCTCTGGAGCGTGCATATGACATTCGAGGTGCTGCTGAGCTGGCACTTGGACGGTGAGATGTTCTCATCGACGCTGTGCTCCGTCTTTCATTATATTCCTTGGGTGGTGGATTTGCCATGTGTTGGGTTGTGGATGGGGGGGATCGCTCGACGATCCAGTGGCGGCGGCATGTTGCGGTGATGAGTCTCCCGCAGTGCCCTGTCTCTCTTTCTGTCTTCTCTATTTTTGTTTGCCCTCGCCTGCGAGGACTATCTTGAGGTCTGGTCTGCCTCGAGCACTATCTTTTTGTGGGCCCCGCTGGTGGCGGAAGTGGCAAAGGGTTTCGCCGCCTTTCGGGAGGCCGTGAAAGAAGCCGAGCGCCACCCAGCTGGGGCCCACTCTCCCTCCGTCGATGCGTCCGCGTCGACCGAGGTCGAGGCCGGTGGTCGGACAGACCTTCTGGGATGCATTGTTTCCGCCTCCTCCCCTCCTCCTCCTCCTCCTCCTCCTCCTCCTCCTCCTCCTCCTCCTCCTCCTCCTCCTCCTCCTCCTCCTCCTCCTCCTCCTCCTCCTCCCCATCCTCCTCCTCCTCATCCTCCTGTTCCAGCTCGGCCAAACGCTTCCGGGCCCGAGCGGCCACGGGAGAAAGCTCTCTTCGAGAGGAGGCCTTTCCGCGCGGGGCGAGTCGAGGCCGGCCGGCCCGAGCCGCTGCCCGTTTTTGGCCCCTCTTCGGGGCCTCCGGGGAGGCCCACGGGGCCCCCGGGTCAGGAGTTGTCAGCCACGAGCAGAAGGGGGGAAGGGGAGGGGCGAGGCATCTTAGACGCACCCGTTGCTTTTTAGAAGAAAGCGCGGGCCTCGTCTGCAGATGCAGGGCCGGCGCCGCGAAAGAAGCAGCCTCTGGGGCCGCCTGGGCAGGAGCTGGATCCCCCCTGAAGGACTCGGAGGCTGGACCCGCGGTCACGGTCGAAAGCGCTGAGATAAGAGGACCGCTTCGGGTTCGGAGGGGCTCGCTGTTCCTGAGGTCATCCCGTGGCGGCTCCTGCTTCAGGCCTCGTCGTGCACCCAGGCTCTTCTGGTGCCAAAAAAAAGGCTAGTTCCGCAGCCCGGTTGTATTTGTCCCTCTCTACCCCCGGTCGTCGAAGCCGGGGGAGGCGAGCCGTGGTGCGGGTCGCGGGACGAAGCGGGGCGCGAGGAGTGCCGCGAGGCGGGTCGGAAGGCGGGCCCCGAGGCGGGTCGCCGGGGCGAGCCGCGAGGGCGAAGGGCAGCGCAGGACAGGACCGCAGAGGGCAGGAGAGGCCAACAACGGGACCCCTGACGTGAAGCCTCTTGGCATTCGCACGAAATGATTCGAGTGGGATTGCCTACAAGAGTTATTACCTTCTGGAGGCTTTGTTGTGGTTCGCTGGTCTGTCGGCCGCGTGTTGCCCAAACCTATGCGCATGCCTCCCCTATCCCTTCGCATGGAGCCCAGGTGGAGTTTGCAGTTTGGTGTGGTGGCGCGGGTGTTTGTTAGTGCGTGCGTGGCTTGCCTGTGTAGGTGCGCTTGTGTTTGTTTGTGCTCGTCTGCGGTTGATTGCTAGTTTGTTTGCCAGCATTCTTGGTCGCGTGCTGGCATCGTTGCCCGCTTCCCCGCGCACGGACTTTCATGCTTGACCGGTGGCTTTCCCCCGTGCGTGCGTGCTGCTCGGGCGGCAGTGGTGGCGTCCTGCCGGCTGCGCCTGCCCCCTTCCTGCCTCGTGGCACCAGCATCGGCAACGGGTCGGTGGCGATCGGCGTGCCGACTGTCACCGAGCGCGCGCCGTTGCTCGCAAAGTGCCCACTCGCAAACGCCCGAAAAACACATGTCTGCTTTGATGCAATTTTTATCGCAGATCCCCCGCGGCGGATCCGGGCCATTTGCGAGTAGCTACTTTGCGAGTAGTGGAGCGCGCTCGTCTATACTCGCAAAGTGCCTACTCGCAAGCGTGCGTGCCTCAATGTGGTGGGTCGTACGTAGACCCCTCGCGGCGGACCCAGGCCTTTCACGAGTAGTTACTCTTGCGCGTAGTGGAACGCGCCAGTCTAGGTTGGACACTCTGGCCGCCGACCCTGCAGCGTCCGGCCGTGTCCGGCGTGGCCTCTCCCCTCCGCGTGCTCTCTGCGCGCTCCGTCCTCTTCGCTCCTCCTGCGCGGGGCTGCCCCGGTTCCCTGGCAGTCGGCTGTCTACCAGGCCGTGGCGTCGGCGCGCTCGCTGGCAGAGCGCGAGCGCGCACGCTCGCGCGATCTGGTGTTGGTCACTCAGTGGATTGCCTACCGCATTATGCGCATGCTCGCTTATCCGTAAGGACTTCGCCCCATGCCGCCGGCCCCCTGTCCCAGATAATGGAAAATGCAGAAGCTAAATCATGAGGTCTGGGCGCCGCCGTGAAGCAGTGTCGGGACCTGTTTGTTTTTCGACCCTGACCCTACGGATCTGCGTCACGGGTGCCACCGAATTTCAGAAATGTGGCAAATCCCTTGTGTTTTGGACCCTGACCCCGTGTTGGTCACTCAGTGGATTGCCTGCCGCATTATGTGCACGCTTGCTTCTTATCTCGCTGGCCTGCTGGCCCGCTTGATTGGTTGATTGCCCGCGTGCTCGCTTGCTCGCTGGCTCGCGCGGCGCACAGCCGACAGGATCACGCGTGCAAAGCACATGACATGCTGGAGTGAAACCACGACGGCACTATGGTATGGTGAAGCTCCAGCAGTCGTGCGTACGCTGTGCGATTATTTGTTTGTTGGCATCCACGTACTGGCTGTTACAATGTTGAAACATATGCGTTTTCAAAACAATCGGTGCGAGTTAGATGCAAGCGCCCTTCATGACAACCTCCATGGCAACACTTCATCGAAGGAGAAACAAAGAAGGGTATGCGCAATCTAGCCCAGGTTCCGCTGGCTCTCCCTGGTTTGCACGCACCCTGACAAGAGGCACCCCGACCATCGAATCAGCCGCATTGCACGCGAGAGAAGCAGGCATGTGGGTATTGGCCACGGAATTGGCTTCGCCGGCTCACCAGTGCCCGGCATTGGTCAACATCGCAGTCGAAGACCTATTCTGTGGACATGAAACCACGGGTCGGCTTTATTAAGCTATAGTGCTGGAGTCAGCGCTTGTGAGAAATGTGGACAGTGGCAGCAGGCGTTGTCGCTGTTGAGCGGGATGCAGGAGGCCAAGTTGGAGCCTGACACCGCCATTTACAGCGCTGGGGTCAGCGCTTGCGAAAAGGCCGAGCAGTGGGAGCAGGCGCTGCTGCTGCTGAGTGGAATTCAGGAGGCCAGATTAGAGGTTGATGTCGTGATTTACAGCGCTGGAATCAGCGCTTGCGAGAAAGGCTTGCAGTGGTTGCAAGCGTTATCTTTGTTGTCCGAGATGCGGGAGGTGAGGTTGGAACCCAACATTTACAGCTACAATGCTGCCATCAGCGCGTGCGAGAAGCGTTTGTGTTGGGAGGAGGCGCTCGTAGTATTGAGAGAGGCGTCATCGTCGACGGTGGAGTTAAACCTCATCAGCTACACTGCGGGAATCATTGCATGTGGGAAGGGCGGGCGATGGCAGTTGGCGTTGTCGTTGTTGGACGAGTCAGCGAAAGCGAAGGTCGAGGCGAACACGATCAGCTACAATGCTGCAATCAGCGCGTGTGGAAGAAGTGGGGAGTGGCAGCAGGCGCTGTCATTATTGAGCGAACTGTGGGAAGTAAAGATTGAGCCGTCTGTCATCAGCTACAACGCTGGAGTGAGCGCGTTTTCTATTGGAGGGCGATGGCAGCAGGCCTTGTGGTTGGCAAGCGAGATGCGTCAGGCAGAGCTGGAGCCAGACATAGTCAGCTATTCTGCTGGAGCCGGCGTGTGCGGGAAAGGAGGGCAATGGCAGCAGGCATTGTCAATGTTGTGCGAGCTTCAGGCAGCGAAAGCAGAGACAGACGGGGGCAGCTACAGTGTTACAATCAGAGCTTGCGCGCAAGTGCACCAGTGGCAACGTGCGTTGACGCTGTTCTCAGATTTCAATGCGAAAATGGTGCCAGACAGGGACGTCTCCAATGCTGCGATCAGTGCGTACTGGGAGGCGGGGCGCTGGCAACAGGCCTTATGGTTGCTCAGGGAAACGTGGGCAGCGAAGGTGGAACTCAACTGCAAGAGCTACACCAATACAATCGGCGCGTGCGACAAGCAAGGGAAGTGGCAGCAGGCATTGTCCTTGCTGCACGAGTTGGTGGAGGAGGAGATAAAGCCACATGGTGTTACATTCTGCCTAACGGCCAGTGCGTGTAAGAAAGGTGGATATTGGCAGGGGGCTCTGTTGATGATGAGAGATTTCTGCGAGGCGTCAACTAATCTACGCTGCTACTCAATTTGCGTCGATATTGCTGTCGGTGCATGCTCGACTAGCGGACAATGGGAGGAGGCAGTGTGGTTGTTGTGCGAGCAGCGCGAAGTGGTCGATGCTTTGAGCTACATGGCCGGATTCCTCGCGTGCGAAAGAGGTGGTCATTTGCGGCAGGCTCAGTTTCTGCTGGGCGAGATGTCGCAATTGCCACTTCTGCGAGGTGCATCTGGAGTGTTGGGTGATGATGGAAGCCCAGGGGCGTATGTAGCGGAGTTGACGGCCCAGCGTGAAAGCAGAGTTGGTTTTGCTGTCTAGATTTCTTGAAGGTGCCGAGCGTGGAGCACAACAGGGAGGTCACCGAGTGTCTGCACGCGTTTGGGTCCAAGCAGCACGCCGAGCTCGCAAGACGACGAGCGAGCTGAAGGGCCCAACGGCATAGAGGTCAGTTGAACACGCCATCTGGGACACCCTGCCCAAGAGTGGCCATCACGACTCTTCAATCTGGGGGGGGAAAGGCCCTTCCACTTCGTTCTCCCCTAGCGAAATAGAGCACACATCAGACCAGACTGCACGCACTACTCCCCACAGGTAGTCAGGCGATAGTAATCTTGATAGTGAAGGCCTTACGGCCGGTGCCGCCGACCCTGAAAGACGACGACGACCACCACCATCACCACGACGACAACATCAGCTCGGGACATGGAGCGCGCGGTTGGGGGGAGGAGGTGGAAAGGATGAGAGTGTGATTCGAGTCTAGAGGTCGACATTTTATGATATCGATGCCTTACTCGACTCCCTGAGCTAAAGGTCACGAGCGAGGGTCGTGACCATTTCTGGCTCAATACCCAAACCAGATACTCTTTCCTCATCATTCATACCAATATTTCCCTCCCCCATGCCCTTCTATCCGTTCTTGCTGTGCAGCGTAGTATTATTACGAATGCAGGCGTGCCTGTTGAAGGAGAAGGGTTTCTTCCGACATCCTAACTTCGTCGCTATCGTCCGTGGGGCGACAGTGGTAGCGGAGCTGTGAGCAGTTCAGATTCCGCGGGCCGATGACGGCAGCAGCAGAGCAGGATGATAATCGGACATCCTCGCAGGCAGGACATGGGGAGCACTTGGCAGTACGTACGGTGACTGACATAATGATGCAGCAGAAGGGTATCAATCTCGACCAGGACGAGGCAGAGAAGTTGGCACGTGTTTTTCTGGACATCTTCCCGGGGGCAGGCAGCTCTATGAGCTCGCAGCGGGGTTCGGCTGAGGGCGAGGACGTCTCACAGGACGTCAAAGTCTCCTCCCACGGGCAGTCGGGCCAGCATGAGTCCGATAGCATATGGTCAGAGACGGGGACGCATTCGTGGACTGGAGGGCGAGATCTTCGGCCAGAACGGGAGTCGACGAGTGCCGAAACATGACCCGGTGGTGGCGCGGCAGCATCTGCTACCGAGGCGCAACTCTGGAGACGAGGGCGAACGTTCTGGCAATGATTTCGCCGATCCGCATGTGGCGCCGCAAGGTGCACCGTTGGCGGACTCTGATGGACGTTCCTGTACACAAACAAGCTGATCGTTTTTTTGGCGTGTTTTAGATCAGGACCTGCAGAGAAAACTCGAGGGCATCGATGATGACACTCTGACGAGCTCGTGGGGCTTCGTCGTGCTCGTCTCACGTCTTGCCTTGATGTCTGGAGAACGGCACGCGACGAGAGACGCAAGGTAGCACGCGAGTGTTTGCTGGACGATTCTCGCAAACATGGGGAGAATATTTCAGAGTACTGCGCTTGGCTGGATACCAACTTCGATCGCGTGACTACGCAAGGACTTCCTTTTCAAACGAGTGGAAATAGATGTTCTTGGAAGAAGGCGTCTCGCTGGACGAACGCCCGGCTCAAGGTGGAGCTCAGCGCCATCCGAGATATGGACCCGCACCGCGAGCACCTGAAGGTGCATAGGAGATACGCGACGGTGGGTCCAGGACAGGAGGCTCCACCTACCCCGATCCCGTCCCACCAGGTCGACGGCGACGAGGACTCGCTATTGGACTACCCCGACGCGTCCTATATGAGCTCCGACGGCGAGGCACAGGTCTGGGCGATCCTGGAGTCAGCCGACCTCGGCGAGGACGACGCGCCAGCAGCGCCCGCCGCGATCAACAAGGACCGCCGGAAGACATGGAAGCAGAATCGTGAGCTGTAAGGGCAGTTCAAGACCGACGGGAAGTTCCACGACAGGTCCGGCGCAGCTCGCGGCAGTGTTGGGCGCGGGAGGTCTAGCAAGCTTGGCTACAGAGCAGCTGACCTCACCTACAGAGCGCGCAAGAGTCGACTCCCGATTGCCAGGTTGATCAAGCGCACTAGGTGCCGATTGCGCCACCAGAAAAGGCAGTGGCCTCGGGGGCGCCCGGAGCGACGGGGCCAGGGCGCGGGGGCAAGAGAAGAAACAATGACAGGATCGATTTTTTCAGGAATGATTTTGTTAATGTGAACGCTCCAGATCACGCCTCACCCTCGTGCTTTGATGAGCCCCCCCGCCCGCGCTTTAGTTTTTCTGGCCGCAGCTGCTGGGGCCTTGGTGGCAGCCGCCGCCGCCGTCCAAGGTCTCGTCGGGAAACCCGCCGCGGCGCAGATCGAGGAGCACCGGGCCTCAAAGGGGTCGCCATTCCCAGGGCTCTCCCCAGGAATTCCAACGCAAGAAGAGTGGGCGGAGGAGCGCAGGCCCTCTCGACTGCGTTGATTCCCCTTGGCATCGAGGGCCGCGTGGGGCCCTAGAGCTAGAGGTACTGGCCGGGGATGCGCCTCCATTTCTGCCAGTCGGGATTCAAGAGATGCCCGGGGGAATCGTAGATTGGCCCGGCGGGGCCTTCACGTTCAAGAATTTTGGGGCAGTCACGCCCTCGACGCGCGTTGTCCGCTCCAGCGAAGAACTGCGAGGTGCCCGCCTCGATATTCACGTCCTTCCCACAGCTGTCTCAGGACGCGTTTCAAGCCCAGCGGAAGTGCGTCAACACATCTCTCGAGAGCATACTAGCGAATAGCTTTGGCCAGGAAGGGCTATAGAAATGTGGCTCCTGGAGGGGCTCCGAGGGGGAAGGGGGCCATTCGAAACGTTCGGGGGCCCTCCACTGGGGTGACCCCGGGGCCGAGACGTCAGGGGGCCACGTCGGGGCCTCGGCCGGTTTTGAGCACTCAGGAGTCGAAGTGTCGGGGGCCAGCGTCGGGGCTGTAGTTAGACCGGAAAGTTTAGGTCCAGGAGATGCACGGCTATGGTCTCCAACGCGGCATCTCCAGCGCCGCGCCCACAGGATCAAGTATCTCAGGAAGCATCAGGAGCATGAGATCCAGGGCAGATTGTCCTGGGGTCAGCTTGCGCGCAGCAGCGCGGAGCTGGAGGTGGCCGACTCGGGCCGCAACGAGAGCCTGCGCCCCAGTCAGCGTCATTGTAGCACTTGGGCTCAAACGATTGAGTTCGCAGCTGTTCAACATCGGCAGCGGCGGCACTTCGCCGGATTCTGAGACCCAGCATCGCGGAGAGCGATCCCACCGGTCTCGGCGACGACGCGTGTTGGAGGTCAAAGGGGTTGTCGAGGGCCTCGGGAACGTTCCGAGACCATGACGGATCGGATGCAGAACCAGGAGGTATCCGCGCGGGTCTACGGGGCGACCTGGACCCATGCCCCATAGAACCTCACGACGGCAGAAAGGGGGCGGGCCTGCATAGCCGGACGCGCGATGGCCGAGGATTTCGCGGTTTTGCGCCGAAATGGTCGCTTCTGGCCAACCAACCTCCCGAAGTGATCCCGTCGCAATCCAGAGCAGGTCGGGGCTTGCTAGCATCCGCCCGCGATGGCGAGCCACGGGGCCAACTAGTTCGGCAAGTGTATCGCGCGCGGCTGGCGAACGAAGAGAGTCGCGCGCTTCGTGCTGGAGCCCGCCAAGGGCACGATCAAGGAAGGAAAGATGCGCCTGGGCCAAAAGAAGGATGCGGCCTGCAGTCTGCGCGGACAGGGACGGGCTCTGCCAGGCGGGTTCAGATCCGCAGTGGCAGGTTCTGGCCTGCGCCCCCAGGCCCCAGGCCGCTTCCAGGGGCCGGCGATCTCCCGATCCCCCTCCAGCCGGGGACGTCGACGGGCAGCAGCTCCTTCAGACTCCAGTGCCCGGGCGCCGGCGAGTGGCGGGGGGCGCGGCGAAGGTCGCGGCAGCTCTTGAGCGGGATCAGGCAGACCAGGGGGCAACAGCGACAGCGGCTCGGAGAGCTTCGTCGATAATGCACCGCCAGGAGAGCGACAGCAAGGTCGCGGGCACGGACGGCGGCGACCAGCCCGAGGAGACCAGGGCGCAGCAGCGGGGGCCGAGAGGGACACGAAGGACATGACGGAGCGCCAGTTCAATCAGATGAAGGCCATGATCCAAGGGGTGGCAGCCGCTCAGGCAGCCCAAAAAAAGGGTCTCGACCGAGTGACTCACGCGGTGAGGGGGCAGATGACGGCGATTGCCACCGCCCAAGGCCAGGCTCAGGAGGCCAGTCGATTGGTCAAAACCTTCGCGCAGGCGCCATGGGAGCGCCCTGGACGGGGCCGTATGTGGGGCTCCTTATTGAGCCAAGATTCACGTAAGGGGTGTGCCGAAATTGGTGGAATTTTGTTATGTGGGCGCCCTCAGTGGGGCCGTAGGTGAAGCTCCCTATGGGGCTACTATCCGCGTGGCGGGTGTGCCGAAATGGATGGGGGCGCTATGTGAGCGCCCGAGAGTTTCTATCCTAAAGTCTCAGGCGCCCACATTCGCAGAGCGGATGTCGTTCGGAAAACGACAGGTGGGCCCAGAGTGTCCTGGAGAATCTCGCTCCAGATTTCGAGGTGAATTTCGTGCGGTTTTTGAGGCAGGAATGAAGACCAAAAAGAACCCACGCGAAGTTCACTTCGTTTTTCGATCGCCGCTTCGGGAAAAATCCGCGCAGCAATCCATGCAAAACTCCGCTGCAGCACGTCTGCAAGGCCGGTGCAATGAGAGAGGGGCGCGCGCGCGCAAGAGTTTTTGTCCTACAGTCAACCCGCATACGGTAGGTTCGCGTCGTGTCGACCGGCGGCGACCCCGCCGCGGGCGTTCAAGGTTGAACGCCGCCAGTGGCCGAGAGTCGGCCTGTATAGAACGATCGGGCGGTCGAAAAGCCGCCGATCGTGCAAGGTGGAACGATCCACGCGGTGTCAGAAACCAGCGCCGGGGTCGTCACGACACCAGCCTGCCGTAGCAAGGATGAGCGGCCTTCCAAGATTACCCTTGCATCCTTCCCCTGCGGCCCAACCCTTGGCCGCCTCCGCTGGCCGCGCCCCGCCCGCAACGTGTCGGCCTGCGCCTCCGAGGCCCTTGCATCCTTATCGTGCGTCTTTCCCATATGGGTTGGCTGCAGGGGCGATCTGGCTGAGCCAGGACATCAGAGGGGTGGTGCAAAGGTCGTCCACGGAGACGGCGGCGTCAATCCGAGATGGAGGAGGAGGAGGAGGAGGAGGAGGATCAGGACCAGGAGGAGGATAAAGAGAAGGAGGATGAAGTCAAGGACGGAGGAGGAGGACGAGGAGGAGGAGGAGGAGGTGGGAAGGAGGAGCTGGAGAAGGAGGCGAAGCGGATGTCGCTGTGCAGAGGTCGCCCACTGGGAGGCGACGACAGGGGCGAATTGCCCAGGGACGGGCATTACACGTCTTCGCCCGGGAGCCTCGCCAAAGGCATGGACCATCGACGCCCATGCATACGTGCATTTCAGGAGGGGGAAAAAACACAGACACAATTGATCGCCGACTCTCCGGAAAACGAGGGAAGTGAGGGGAAGACGAAAGCCCAGAAAATGTTAGACAATATGGGAAACCTTGGGATTTGTGCCTGTTCATTTGTGCGTCCCTGGGCCCCTGTAGTACTGCATTCCCCTGAGCTATCTTCGCCTCCCCCTCGTCGCCCCCTGCAGTGGCCAGGAGAAAAATTGGCGGGTTTTCTTGATCGTTCAAGGCTTAAGTCGGGCGAGGAATATTCAGGAAAAGTAGAAAACATTCTGGTGACGATGTTTCGTGTTTTTTCTTGACTATGGGGGATTATTGTAGGAGGACATGCCCGACCTAATTCAAGGCTGAACAACCCATGCGGTGTCAGAGAGCCGCGCGCAAGGCGTAACGCAACAAACCTGTCGCATGCTGCTTCGCGGTGTCGCCGCGAGCCTCGAAGACGAAAACACGGCATAGACATACGCTTTCGGAGGTCTTCGCGGATTTCTTGGATCGGCGCCTGGGTTCCGCTGGCAGCGCCTCCGGCGCCGGCCCTGGCGCGCCCCGCGCGCCAGCCAGGGGGTCCAGCGCAGATCCGAGAAATCCGCGCGGAGCGCCAAAAGTTTATGTTTTTTGGGGGGTTTCTGAGTAAGCGTGGGGGGGTACCCCCCGACGGGGATCAACCTCGCCTCGTCGTCGCGCCGCGACGGGGGTCGGAGCGCCTTCGGCGCGCGGTGGCTGCCCGCGACGAGAGTCGATGTGGGGCAGTCGGCGGGGGTGACGCCCCCCCGACGCTTACTAAGAAACTCGGAGTATACTGTTTTCAGTTCCTCGAAGCCAACTTGCCGTGCGCTTCGAGGTGTCGCCGCGAGCCGGCGTTCGTCGCACTCCCTCGAGCGGCCGCCGGGGGCTTGGAAGAGAGCATCCTGTGCGGTTTGACGGTGCAACAACCTGAAGGCAGGGGAGATCGTGGACGCCCTCGGAGGGATAGTCGTAAGTCGGGCCTGTCTCTACAGGAGGAATATTCAAAATAGTCAAAGAATGGTCTGGGGACGATTTTGTTAGCATATTTGGCTATGTTTGCATATTGTTTCGACTATTGCCAATTTTCGTCCAAAAGAATAGTCATAAAGTGGTTGGCCCCAGCCCCGCCGCCGTGGGGTGCTTCCCGAGAAGGTTGGCGAAAATCAGCTGCGTGGGCTGCTTCGCTGACCCAGCTCTAACTAAGTCTACCCCCGCCCCTTCCGTCAAAGCCGTGGGGAAACGCACAGAGCGGTGGCAGGACATGTTTATTGCACGCGTTGTCATGGTCCTCCTGCTCCAGCTCGTCTTTCCCCGTCCACAGCAGTTTTGGCTCAATTCGGGCAGCCTGTGGCATGGGCCTGGGCACAGAGGGGGCCGCGATGAGCTCTCCTAGTAGTGGGTCTAAGCATCCCCCCACCATCGCGAACGGGAAGTTCGAGATTAGTGTTAAACTCGGAGCTGGTTGTTTCGGGGAGGTGTACCGCGCTGTCGACACGCAAACTAAGGATGAGGTGGCTGTCAAGATCGAGCGCGCTAATGCGTGCTCCCCCCAGCTTGAGCGCGAGTCAGCAATACTGACCGCCCTGGCGGAACCCACCCGACAGCAAGGCTTCCCTTATCACCTGCACTTTGGCAGGGAAGGCAAAGTCCTTTTCATGGTACTGGAACTCCTGGGAAAAAGCCTCGAAGATCACGTGCAGCTCTGCAGCGGCCACCTTTCCGCCAAGAGTGTGGCGCTTGTTGCCGAGCAGACGCTCTTGCGAGTGGAGTATTTGCACTCGAAGGGCATCGTTCATCGCGACATGTCAAGGGCTTCGCCCCATGATGGATGTGGCTCGAGGGCGGTCGGGTTGAAAGCAGTTGCGCGGGTCTGGGGGCCACCTTGGGGTCGTCTTTGATGGCAATGTTGGTCAACGGCGAGGCATCTTGGGGCAAGACAGGGCTAACTTTGCACCGTCTCTTGGGGCCCTGTCGGGCAATCTTGGGGTTTCGTGGGTGCATCTGCATCACGATGGGAAACCCTGGGAGCTCTGGGAGGCCTTACAGGTTTGTGGGAGGAGTCGCAGGAAAGGAGGCTATGTGAAGCCCTGGGGGATTCTGGCTCTGTGAGCGGTTGGGCGGCCTTGGCATGCGCTGGTAGGCTCTTGGAGACGCTGCGAGGTATTAGGTGGCTCTGGGAGGCTCTGCGGGATTCGGGAAGGCTGCAGGATACCATGGAAATTTCAGGAAGCTCTGGGAGGTCGTGGGAGGCCTTGGAGTGAGGACACGTTCAGTGCAAGATGGGACTCACGAGGCAGTTATTGTTGGGATAGGCTCATCGCCGATCAGGCGGTTGTCCATAGTATGTCGGCGTATCCTAAAAATTGGGCGACCGAGACGAACCAAGAGTGCGCCAAGACAGTCGAAGAAGATGGTTGAATGAGGCACTCAGGACGGCACAAGAGACCTCGGAGAAGTTCTAAGATGGCAGATAGCCCAAGAGACTCCAACAGGATTACGGAATTCTCTAGAAGGCGCCAACTGGCCTCTAGATTGCCCAAATCGTCGAAGCCCATTCGGCCTTCGGCCGAACATGACCCCCAGATGGCCTGAGAAGATTTCCGGGCGGCCGACGCGAGAGGGCTCCAAAAACAACCTAAGAGATCCCCACGCGGCCCCCCAGAACAGATCTTGCCTCTGGCAAGGGGTGCCGAGACGCCCCCAAAAAAGTTCAAGGGGGCCTAGGAAGCCCCCCAAGGAGAGTGTCAAGGACGGCGCAGAAGGCTCCAAGTTGCCCCATTGATCTCAAGAGCTCAAGGAGAAGACCACGGGCGACACCGAGAGATGCCCCAAGAGTCGCGAAAGAAGACCCAAGCGGCAGACAGAAATTACACGGGATTACGATGTTGTCGTGGGCATGGTAGGGAGGAAACTTATTCTTCGTGTATGTGTGTGTGTGCGTGCGTGCGTGTGTGTGTGTGTGTGGTGTGTGTGGTGTGTGTGGTGTGTGTGGTGTGTGTGGTGTGTGTGGTGTGGTGTGGTGTGGTGTGGTGTGGTGTGGTGTGGTGTGGTGTGGTGTGGTGTGGTGTGGTGTGGTGTGGTGTGGTGTGGTGCGGTGCGGTGCGGTGCGGTGTGGTGTGTGTGTGTGTGTTTGTGTGTTTGTGTGTTTGTGTGTTTGTGTGTTTGTGTGTTTGTGTGTTTGTGTGTGTGTATGTGTGTATGTGTGCGTGCGTGCGTGCGTGCGTGCGTGCGTGCGTGCGTGCGTGCGTGCGTGTGTGTGTTTGTGTGTGTTTGTGTGTGCTTGTGTGTGTTTGTGTGTGTTTGTGTGTGTGTTGTTTGTGTGTGGGTGTGTGTTTGTGTGTGTTTGTGTTTGTGTGTGTGTGTTTGTGTGTGTGTGTGCGTGTGCGTGTGCGTGTGCGTGTGCGTGTGCGTGTGCGTGTGCGTGTGCGTGTGCGTGTGCGTGTGCGTGTGCGCGTGCGTGTGCGTGCGTGTGCGTGCGTTGCGTGTGCGTGTGCGTGTGCGTGTGTCGTGTGCGTGTGCGTGTGCGTGTGCGTGTGCGTGCGCGTGCGCGTGCGCGTGCGCGTGCGCGTGCGCGTGCGCGTGCGCGTGCGCGTGCGCGTGCGCGTGCGCGTGCGTGTGCGTGTGCGTGTGCGTGTGCGTGTGCGTATGCGCGTGCGCGTGCGCGTGCGCGTGCGCGTGCGCGTGCGCGTGCGCGTGCGCGTGCGCGTGCTGCGTGCGCGTGCGCGTGCGCGTGCGCGTGCGTGTGCGTGTGCGTGTGCGTGTGCGTGTGCGTGCGTGCGTGCGTGTGTGTGTGTGTGTGTGTGTGCGTGTGTGCGTGCGTGAGGGCGTGCGTGCGGGCGTGCGTGCGTGCGTG